GACCTATTCAATTATAAAAAGTAAAAAATAAAAAATAAAAAAAAACCTTCCCCCTTCTCTTATTGTTCTTCCTCAACCTCTCCCCTGTTCTTCGAGATTTCACCATCATTCAAACCTTCAAATCTATGAACAAGGAAGAAGCGTACTGTAACAGCTGAACGACCCGCGCAACAAGATTCAAGCTTTAGCTGTTGTTGAATCTGGGCGTACCAAAAAGCGGTCACAAGTAGTGGAAGAAGTAGAAGGAAATCGCGAGTGGTGAAATTTTTTTTGAGGCCTTAGAGATAGCACGCAAGGTAATAATCTCTCTATCAATCTTCATTTCGCGTATTGATTCCGATTTTATTTGCGAAAATTGAGTTAGGGTTAGGGTTTTCTCAAATAATCAGTTTAATGTGCTTATTTGACTTGACCTTTGTGAATTATTGTTAAAAAATCATGTTAAAAATCTCATTTGTGGGTATGAATTTGGCAATGTGTGTATTGGTATGTAAGAGTTTGTGTTTTTCACAATATTTGAGTCCTTGAAATGAAATTTTGCGAGTTGATCAGGATATTTGGTTTGGTATGTGTTTGTTGATGTGAATGACGTGTGTTGATGTTCAGTAAAGTAATATGTCATTTGTTATTGATAGAATGTAAAGTGTTGCTTGATGTCCATTACAAAAATCAGGGCTTTGATGTATTGGTTGAAGATACTGACAGAACTAGTCTAATGGACTTGTATGAGTTCATGTTTGAGGATTCTGTCAAGCAAAATGTAATCCTCCCTAAATACTTTAGTTTGTCTGTACTGCCCCCTAGAACTAATAGAAAGTTGGAGTTATGTGGGGATAGTCATATGCTAAAAATGTAGGAGTGGAATGAGGGTAGGGAAACAATAGAAGTATTCTTAGATGAAAAGGAAAGTCCTAGATTGGTGTTTAAGGATGCTGAAGCAAGTTGGCAAAAAAGGGTTAAGACAATGGCTGAGAAGGCTATAGTGGATCAGGAAAAGGCCCAGAGGATGCTGAGAGGGAGCTTATGGAACAACAACGTTTTAAAGTTGCAATTGAGGTTCCTATTGTTAATGCTGATGACTCAAGTGTTGAGTATGTAAGAGTGTTTCACTCCAGTAGCTGATGAGGTTTTCCCTGGGGCATCTCAGCCTGAGCCTGAACAAAGGACTTAGCCCTCAACTCCACCTAAACTCTCTCAACCAACTTCTCCTATGAACCAGCTCAAAACCACATGTTATAGGAAGAAAATGACACCTAGGAAAAGGAAAAGCACACAAAAAAAAAAGTCCAAGTCAAAGATCCCAACCTTCTCCTCAATCATAAACATCCCAACCTTCTCCTTAACCACAAACATCCCAACCTTCTGTTGAACCAACACCAGTATCACCACCAGTTTCTTCTCAACCACAAACAGCACCAGTTTCATCTCAACCCCAACCTCTATCATCTGCAGCAGCTACATGTACTTCATCTCCTATTACACCTAAAAAGGGAGATAGATCAAGACCTGAGGGATTTAAGTAAAAAAAGAGTGCTACAAAAAAGGTTAATGCTGAGGGGAAAGGTGTTACTTTAAGGAGATTAGAAAGAAATAGAAATGGGAACAGAGCACCTATTGTTGATTTAAGTGAGGAGAGGTCTGATGAGTTTGGTAGTGATGGTGATTTTGAAGATGATGATTATATACAATTTGGTAGTGAAGAAAATGATGACGAGGTAGATATTGGTGACTTTGACATTTAAAGATTATTGTATGTTAATTTGGAGGATTACTTTGACAAAAAAAGATATTTGGAGATTATTGTATGTTAATTTGGAGGATTACTTTGACAAAAAAGATTATTGTATGTTAATTTGGAGGATTACTTTGACAAAAAAAGATTACTTTGAAGATGGAGATTATTGTATGTTAATTTGGAGGATTACTTTGACAAAAAAAGATTATTGTATGTTAATTTGGAGGATTACTTTGACAAAAAAAGCATAAAAATTGTATTAAGCTGAAGATAAACCCAGTATTAAGTTTTGAGTGACTATGTAGACAGCTGCAATTAAACATTCAAGCCAATCCTGGCATTCCAATTGAGTCTTTATAGAGACTCTGTATGGAAAGGTTTAGGATTCAAGTCAAGAAAAGGCTATTTTACAAGGTTAAGGCAATGTGCAAGGAGATCATTCATGGTGGTTTTGGAGAGGCATACTCATTGTTGCCTAGGTATGCTGAAATGGTGAAAGAGACTAACCCAGGTAGTTACGCTCGAGCCTCCGAGATTCAGGGCTTGTTTTTTTTCTTTTGCTGCCTAAGTTAGGGGATTCTTGAGAGGCTGTAGACCTATTATTGGCATTGATGGAGCCCACCTAAGTGGACATTTGAAGGGAATCTTGTTAACTGCAATTGGGATTGATGGAAACAATGAGATTTTTCTCATTGCCTATGGAGTGGTTGGTTCTGAGAGTATTTACAGCTCGGGTTATAATCTGAGGAATTTGAAATGCCTTTTGAGAAAGAAGAGTGCAGGAGAGATGATTGGACCTTCATCTTTGACAGAAAGAAGGTAAGCCACCTGGACATTAGTTTATTACATGTGATTTACTATTTTGTTTTTTCAAATCTCAACCATTAAACTATTTCCTTTGTAGGGTGTTGACACAACAATTCATGAAACATTCCCCAGAGCAACTATTAGAGTATGTTGCCAGCACTTGTACATGAATTGCAAGACCAATGGATTCAGTGGTTCAACCTTTCATAAGCTTTTCTGGATAGCAACTAATAGATACAATGAGTATGTATTCAATAAAGCAATTCAGAAGATACATGATGAGTACAATCCTAAGGCTGTTGAATACTTAGAGAGCTGCACTGAGATCTGGTCAAGACATAAGTTTGATCCTGCACACTGTTATGATCATAACACAACAAATTTTGTAGAATCTTTCAACTCATGCACAAAGCCCTACAGAGATCCTATTCTAAAACTACTTGAAGGTATTCACTGCCACCCATTTAATGTTGTAACTACTTGCATTAACACAAGTGCCCTGCATTCTTTTGTTTTACAATTTTTGTGCATGTTATTTTGTAGCTATAAGGTAGTGGGGCATGAAGAGGATTGGCTCAAGGTTTGACAAAGCTATAGGCATGGGGGATATGGAGCTGATTGAATATGCAGCCAAGATTCTACAAACAAGATCAGATGATTCTAGGTTGTGCTATGCAATCCCATGTGGTGGTGATGAGTTTGAGGTGAGAGACCAACATGTGCATTTTCCCATCAAGCTGAACACTGGCACTTGTGGTTGTGGGAAATGTCAACATTCAGGAATCCCATGCAAACATGTACTAAGGGTGATTTACCACCAGAGGCTACAACCTGCAGATTTTGTATCCCCTTGTTTCAAAGGGAAGGTATACAAGCTAACTTGCATAGCATATGCACCCAATTCCTGACCCAAGTCAATGGCCATCATTGAACCTGCCTAACATACTACCACCACTCGTGAAAAGATTTGCAGGAATACCAAAAAAGCAAAGAAGAAAAGGGCCAAATGAAGCAAGGAAAGGGAAGAGGCATTCAACAGTTAAGTGCAGCTTATGTAATGAGTTGGGGCACAACATGTTGACTTGTGTATCAAGGAAAAAAAGCGCTGCAACTGAAGCAAGCACATCAAACACCTCATCTCAACCCAAGAAGAAAACAAAGAGAGCAGCATGAATGCACAACCACTCAGCTTTTTAATGCACAACCAGTTATCCATGTATTTTTTGAACATTAACAGTGTAGTGTGTACTGTGTTGTCTAGTTTTTTTTTGACATATCCTTGTAATTTAAGCAGGAAGCAATTTTTTGGGCACGTGATTTGAACAGAAAGTTATTATATACTACACTTAAATGAAAGTGTATTTAAATGCGTAGATGATTTAATTTCCCTTTTTATTAAATTTCATTGCAATTACATGCAATAGTTCACCTCATCATTACAATCATAACTATTACACACATCAATACCCCTAATTTCATAATACAATCGAGAACTTTTTGCTGCTGCTTGATTTTCTTCTTCAATTGTTTCAATTCTTCATGCAAATTGCTTTGTCCTGAGTCATCCCTTACATAACAGCTTCCCCTGCTTTGACCTTCTTCATGTATCTGAACTTTACACCATTTGAAGCTATAACATGAATCATACTTATAATACAACCTTTGTGGATTAGATGTTGACACCAAGCTTCTAATTGCATATTTTCTACCACAATTGCAAAATTTGTTTCGAACCTTGACATATGCATACTCATGTTTTGAGGAGGATGTGTTTGTTATCAAGCTCATGATTATGCAAAAAGGTATGCTATGTGTATTTTAGTGTACTATTGATTCAACAAATTGGGTGCAATGACTAGATTTGCCAAAAAAAAAATATTCAAAAAAGGTCAAACAAACTAGCCGTTATAATGAGTATGTTTAGAGGTATATTGTGTAAAAATTTACAAAAGTAATGGCATTTGGTGAAATATTTAAATTGTTCAGTGACATTTCATGAAATAAGAATTGCAATAACGGACAACTAACGTGCAGACCTCATTAATGGCACGAGGTGTCAATGTGCTGTTTGTCAGTGACATTTGGAGAATTTTGAAAGATTGATGACATTTGGTGAATTATTTAAGTGATCAATGACATTTGGTGAAATAGCCGTAAAAACTACAGAGAAGATATTAATTACACTATACCCTCCTCATTTTTTTTTAAGAAAATTACTATAGAATTTTTAATTTTTCATTATTTATGTTGATAAGTTTGTGGAAGTACATAATTCAAACGTTAGACATTCAACAACTCCATTAATTTTTATTTTAAAAAAGGAAAATTAGTTGAATAATGAAGGAAATAGGCATAGGGATTAGGGAGGTATGGTAATAACGAGGAGCGTAGTTCAATTGGTTTAAAATGTAGGCTTAACAATAAAAATTAAAAAATTGAAAGGCTCCAAGTTACGTGGCGTATAGGAACAATGATGATGCTGCAGAGTGAAGTGGCTCTCTTTTAAAACACAACAACACTCAAAATATTCAAAATCAAAAAAAAGAAAAAAAAAGCGTGGGTGTTATACAAATCAGTGCAAAATAAATTGACGCGTGTCTAAATTTACAGCTGTTTTCCAAAGTCCCTCCGTCCAGTCCCTACCCTCCAACCAACTAACCGCTTACTTGCTAGAAAGCGGTGATTAGCCTTCCCCCACTCCCCACTTTCTCTCTCCTCTTTACCGGCTTAACCTGTCACCCTTCCTTCTTCCCCTCTCCTTTCAGTTAACACTATAAATCTACTCTCCTTCCCCTCTTCTCTCCGTTCCATTCTCTCTCCTCTCCTCTTTCTCTCTCCTCCTAACCTTCTCCTGTATATATTTATAACCTTCTCTCACCTTTTTTTTTATTACCCCCTCAAATTAAATTATATCATCAACAAAAAAGAAATTCATTCAATCAAACAAACAAACAAAAAAGAAAAGTCGAAAATAATCAGAGAAGAAGAGATAGATGAATACCTGTAGTAGTAGCGAGAATAACAATAAAATGAACCGGAAAGAAGTGGACCGGATAAAAGGGCCTTGGAGCCCGGAAGAAGATGATGCCTTAACAAGGCTGGTCCAAAAGCACGGCCCAAGGAACTGGACTTTGATTAGTAAATCAATTCCGGGTCGATCCGGAAAGTCGTGCCGATTACGGTGGTGTAATCAGCTGTCTCCGCAAGTGGAGCACCGGGCTTTTACACCGGAGGAAGATGATACTATTATCCGAGCCCATGCTAGGTTCGGTAACAAGTGGGCCACCATTGCTAGGCTTCTCAGTGGTCGAACTGATAACGCTATCAAAAACCACTGGAATTCTACTTTGAAGAGGAAGTGTTCTGCTATGGTTTCTCCGGCGCCGGATGATTTTTCCGGCGATTTTCCGCCGCCGTTGAAGCGTGCTATGAGTGAAGGTGCTGATGTTATTCTCAGAAACGTTTCTGGTTTAAGCTTGAACAATAATAATAATAATCCAGGAAGTCCTGGATCATCCGATGCGAGTGATTCCGGTTCGCATGTTTTCCGACCGGTTCCGATTCCCGGTCCGGTGAACATTCCGCCACCTCCGGTGATTTCTCCGGCAACCGATCTGAGTCTGTCGCTTCCTGGATCGGATTCCTGTGAGGTTTCGAACTCAGATCATGAACCGATGAACGGAAGTTCTCCGATCCAGGTTTTCCCGGCGAGTTCACCGGTGATGTTTCCGCCGCCACCACCGCCGCCTCCTCCGGCTTTCAGTCAAGAGTTTTTGGCTGTGATGCAGGAGATGATTAAGAAGGAAGTGAGGACATATATGGAAGGTATAGAGATGAATAACAATGGAATCAGAATCGGAGGATTCAATCATGGCGGATTTTGTTCGCAAGCGGCTGATGGAGTGATGAGAGCTGCGATGAGTAGAATTGGAATCGGAAAAATTGAGTAGGCGATAAATTCAATTCGTTGATGAAGAATTTGAAGAAGATGAAGAGTTTTAGAGAGAGAAAACAACTGCTGATGAATTCTCTCGGTTTCTCTCTCCTCCGAAAAAAAATGTTGTAGAGAAATAATTTTGAGATTAGTGTACAGAAGAATGTGGTTGAAGATTAGCGAAGAGGAGATGAAGAAGATGAAGATGATGATAAAGTTTTGGTTCAAAGTTTGAAACCAAAGCAGACCAAAAAAAAAAAAAAAAGAAAATGAAAAAAAGAGTTTTGCATTTTCTTGTTGATTTGTTCTAAATTTCATTGTCTAGGTTTAATTTAATTAAATTATTAAAAATAATTAAATGTGAAAAAATGGATCGATAAAATGTGTTTTACGTAGAAGTTTAGTAGAGGTAATCAGAAAGAGATTAGAAACAAATTACAAACGGTAATCAATGAGTTGGATTAATTTTTTTTTTTTTTTTTTACAACAATATGAGTTGTAAACGACTAAACGTACTTTGTTTATAAAGTTCGGTTCAACAACTGTCCAAAATTTCACATTTTTTTAATTAATAATAACAAAATATCTGAAATAGAATTTCAAACATTAAAAATAATTATGATAAATAAATAGTAATAACTGAAATTTTTATGTGCATGCAAAATTCGTTGCATTGGTTTTCAACTGCCCTACTACAACTTGTTAGAATGATTGATCTTTATCTTCGCAAAGGACAAATGTTATGTGACCAATTTTCAACGTTGGAAATGTTTTAATTTTGTTAGGGAAAGTACTTTTAAGATAAGCACCATTTTGCCCATTTGGAAATTTTGAGATCTTTTACAAGTAACAATATATTATCACTATTATGTACTTCGTATTATACACTACGGAGTAATTGATTTTAAAATTAAAAGTTGCATATATTGTCTGTTACTCTTATCTATTGATATTAAACGAGAAATTTTAATTGTAAATCATTATTCGCTTTTAGATACGACGATATTTTATGATAATATATCTATCTTGTCATGTTAATCAGTGTTGTAACTGACTATTTATTAGAAATGGAGGAAATATTATATATAAAGTGTCGTGTTAATCAATATTACAGACTTACAGTTGGATTACACTTATAATATGGGAGATGATCTAATCTGAAAGCAATATCTCCGAAAGAAGAAATTAGAGCATAACCACTTTGCATTATACTACAAGCGGGAAGCACTTTGTGGCTATTGAAAAATTGAAAGAAAAGAATTAAAAAAAATATCAAAGTGTATGACAACCAAAAAACAGCAATATTTGATAGTGATGTGGCTTTGAAAATTTGAATACTTTAAAAAGATGACTTAAGATCAAGACAAAATACATTGCGTTGCAGGAGAGATGAGGAGAGTTTTATAGAATTTACGACCTCATGAGATTCTGATCCCATATTCCTATGTTTAGATGCATTCAACAAAGAAAGAGAGATAAGATCGTTTTTAAAGATCATTATTTAAATGCGAGTAAGGTTACTTAAACGTTAACTCGTAAAGCTGTATGTATTATATAGTATACTCGAGAGCATTATCTTTATATACGGTATAGTACTCTAAATGAATATATACTCTCTCTGTCTTTTTGAGTGCATTTTGTGAAACGAAATACTCTGTATTTTGTAAATCAACGCCTCAACAATAAATTAAAATTTACTTTAGTATGAATGTGCATCACAATTTATAACGATTACAAAGTTTAATTTACGTAACGACAGGAACACTTAAATCTACAACTTTCATTACAATTTAGGGGGTTGTGGGGAGAGATCAAGAATGGTATTATCTTGGACCAATAATCCACCACCCCCACCTCTCACAAACATTGGTAATGACTTCACTATATAAAATTGGTAATCAAATAGACCAATTAATTGTGATATTATCAACATATCGATAACCACCAAATTAGCGAATTGATAATAACCAATGAAAAAGAGTGCGTTTAAAGTAGCATCACTTCTTCCATTCCTTAAAAAAGTTTACTTCTTATATTGAAACAAACCTAATAAAATAAGCAATACGAGCCCTACATGTCTACATTAATAGCCTATAAAGATTTGTATGAAACGGAGAAAATAGTTAATACTCATATTAGACAGAGTCAAAGAGTTGTACTAGTAAGATGTACAGAAGTTATAACACAAGATAATATCGTTACAGGATAACTACAGAAAAGATATACAAGTAAGCTCATACATAGAATTAAGGGCGCACCCCATGCAAGGTCTACCAAACAAACAACACAAAATTGAAGAAAAGTTAGACTTTGGAAAGAAAAGCCGCATTAAATGCACAACTAACATCCTCCCCATAGTATGACATATCAATATTTTCCAATTTAAACAACATACACATTTTGACGTTGACATGAAGACGAACACGACTAGGTAAACGGCCAAAACCCCATTAAGATTAACCACACCAACACAAACCTATCACCGTCTTTTGATGTTAACCTTTCAACTCCCAATAAAAACAGCATGACGTATATAGCAGTTGAATAATGAATATCAATGGAATATGCGCGTTCTATTTTCAGACCCACTGTCATCAACTGCTTAATACCTGATTCATTCATCATAATTACGGAGTACTACGTGTATCTTTGTTTATCTACCGTGGTGACACTCGAACATTAAATATTTCATCTGTTGTAAAACTGAAAACACTACTACGTAGTTTCAACAAGTTATGTTTGCAACCACAAATTATGGAAACAAATGTACAACATATTGGCTATGTAACTACATGTCTACAGCCTTGCCAGGTGGGCGTTGATGCAACTTACATTACAGAAAAAATACTTTCAGAAACTAGAAGCATGCAGAAATGAGTAAAAGAGTGAACATAAGAGTTGTATAAATGTTCTTGTGTAGTTACATTCCAAAGCCAACTATTTTGAGGCTGGAATTACATACAATGCAGTAGATAATAGTCATTGACATGAAACAAGTTGGCCATTTAATGGCTTCCTGGGTTAGAATAAAACAATAGCAGGTTGCTGGAAAAGGACGACCTCTCTTGGAGTCTATTAGACTTTACAGAAGGCAACAGCAGGACCAGAGGAGATGTGGGTGGTCTAATTCTAGTTTATATTTTCAATCAATATTTGATTTACAAAATTACTATGGTTGATCAACATTCACACTATATGACGAGCTTCAAAATGGCTACATAAATAAAAACAAAAAAGCACCTCATTGCGGATGTGCTGTTTGAATGATGCCAGGTGTGGGGACTTCTTGCTGTATTTGCTCTGAAGCAGCTTTGCAACTATCAAGCAAAAGATGTAGGTCTTGTTTCCAAGACTGGGTAGGATCATTCAAAGCGCGTATTGAGTTGGCACAAACAATAAGGGTGCCACCCTCGTGCAGAAGAACCTGCAGTTAGTTACCAAGGGGAAGCAATCAAACTATAGCTAATGAAAAACAAACAGGAAACAAAAAGCAGTAATAGCAGGTTTTTCTTACTGTTAGCCAAAGTGGAAGAAATCCTAAGACAGATGGAAGAGAGGCCAAAATAATAGCTGATAGTGCTAGGCCTACATTTTGCTTGACCTACAAGAAACAAATACAAACGGAACTAGTGATTAATGGATTGAACGACAAGTAGGCAAAGCACAGCAGAAATGATGTCCATACCAGTGAAGTTGTTTGACGAGCTTTAGCTATACAGAAAGGAACTCCTGATATGTTGTCTTGGAGCAGGAGGACATCTGAGACAGCTATGGCCGTGGCACTAGCACGTTGAGCAAGTACTATACTGACAGCAGCACCAGCTAACGCAGGGGCATCATTAATACCATCCCCAACCATTATAAGGCCTTCGCCTGTAATAAACAAAAAAAAAAAAAAAAAAAAAACAGTCAAGGACATACCCAGGAAATTAAACTAAGGAATGAAAGATTATTCTTTTAAGATTACAGAGCAGATTGTGATCATTGTATTTCTATATTATCACTTATCTAGGTGAATGGAGACTAATAAGAATAAAATTAATATGACTTTCAGCAAGAATGATCCATCTAGCAAATGTTTGATGTTAAATTGAAAAAACAGTTTTGGATGCAAAGAAAGGATAAAAGTGAATCTAGCAATCAAGATCAGAAAGACAGAAGAGCATTGACTATAAGCAGTAACTCAGTAAGGCACACTTTCAAGCAAGTACTTAAGTGTTAAGATAAAAATGGCAATTGAAGCTTATAAAAGTTCCACATATTGTATTCCAATTATGATGGTGCTAAGCTCACAATGTAGCACATGTAGGCCCAAAAAATATTCAATCTGAACATTTAGGGGTGCTAAGGCTCACAACACAATCATAAAACCAACATGGGAGCGTGGGATTACTATGTCCTTGTATCACATCAAACACTTTACAAGATGACTTCTAAATTATCATCTCAGCATCTGCTATCTTCATGTGTTTCCCCTCACTCTTTCTCTATCAACAAACTATAGGCCAGCTTTCCATTTAATGATAGGAAAGTCCAGAATATGGGCAACAGGCCAACAGCTACTCATGTTAAGCAACAGGGGAACAAAGAGCTACAAAAAATGCATACATGACCAGCTTAAATATTCTTTTCCACTGGAGCTCATTTCTAAGCCCCTTGCTACAGAGAATCCAACATTATGCTCACCTGTCTCTCTTGATATACGCACTACATGGTTGAGTTTTTCTTCAGGCTTCAAGCCACAGTGAACTTCGGTGATTCCCACAGCATTTGCGACTCTCATTGCACTTGATTTGTGATCACCAGTTAGCATCATCACCCGGAACTTTGCTTGATCCCGCAACCATCCAATGACGTCAACAACTCCAGGCCGTGGTTTATCCTCAAAATGGAATAATGTTACCTAAATGGAGTCCAAGCTAATTTCATCATATAAGAGAAAACACAAAATTTGATACCTGTTAATCTAGTATAACCTATCAGTTCATGGATAGCTTACACTCTCATCCCCAACCCCCCATTACAAAAATTCACCTTGGCAGTAAATTCTAAGATAAAATCATTTGGGTAGCAAACGTCTAAGGGTTTGCAAACTGCAATGCTCCTCTCCGAATATTGGTGACAAGATAATTTTCAGGCTAAACCCACCGCAAACTTCATATATAGAGAGAGTCTATATAACCAGAAAACCAAGAGAGAGGGCAAGAACAAGAGAATAAAGAGAGTATTTTAGACAACACCCCAACAAAAAGAAAAAAAAAGTTGGACAATAAAAACAGAGCATGAGAGCATTAATCATATATAACCAGAAAACCAAGAGAGAGGGCAAGAACAAGAGAATAAAGAGAGTATTTTAGACAACACCCCAACAAAAAGATAAAAAACTTGGCAGTAAATACAGAGCATGAGAGCAAGAATCATATATAGTCACAAACAGTTAAGGTTTATAAAATGCAATGCTCCTCTCCTAACATAGATGCCAAGAGGCCAAGCCAGTCACACTATGCTCAGCACTTCAGCAGAAAGGAAAGGAGAGTGAAAGCAAGAGCACAAGTGTTTCAAACCAAAATCAACTGTGATCTTTGAAAAAATTGAGCAAAAATAGAATAGGGTGTTTTCCTAGAAGCACTTCACTGTTCATTGGTACTCTCTTCATCACCACATTTCTAAATATTTTTATAACACTTATATAGATTTGCATATATGCTCAGATGGAGCATATAGTACCATAGTCAAAAGTGACACAAATATTAAACAAATCACCATTTTGGTACTGTTAAGCTGCAACACTTTGACACCTTTATCCAAAGTTATCACAATAAACACAAATCATTCAAAATTACCTTATCATTCACTGAAAGTGCAGCATGAACAAAGTCATTTCCATACGCGGATGTGCTAACAGCTTCCTTTATCTTTTGTGATTCATCTTCATCTTTGCAAAGTGAAGCAATATAATCCACAGAACCTAACGTTGCTTTTACTGGTTCACCTCTTCCTATTCCCGACTAAAAATAGTAGAAAACAGTCAGCAGAATAGACAAAAGAAACTAGTGGGACACTCTAAGTAAAAAAGTGGAAAGCTGCTAATCATCATGTGACTCATCCGTGGCAGGGAGGGGAGGGGGTTCAATGTGGCAGCTGTGCTGACACAGAATTCACTACCTCATTGCCAGATACTGTGGCTAAAAGACCTCTGCCAGGTACAGATTCAAAATTTTCAACAGAGACTGAAGGTAGGTCTAGTCCCACACTATGATCAACAATAGCTCTGCACAAGTAAAATCATGTGTTAAATTAGGAAAGGTGAATATTTGCAGAATCAGCAACAGAAAAATAAAGGGATAGGGTAAAAGATATGTAAAGGTGTAGTGCAAACCACAAAACCAAGCAAATGAATCCTTTTTTTAACCATATAATAAAACTACAGACATTATATACTCTGAACGGTTTAATGTCTTGCACAATGCTATAAACCAAAAAGAATTTATAGAATATAGCCCAATGTAAAAAATTGACACAGTAAATTAAGTACTAGCTCCGTTACTTATTATTTGCAACAACGGGGCAACATTTATAAGACATAAAAAATTCCTTTGTTGCAAATAATAAAAAACGTAGGTAGTATAAGATTCTTGCACTGTAAAGAAAACTAGGAGGAATTCTGTATCCCAAAAAAGTTCTATTAAGACCAATTTTTGGTGAAACCATTTAAGTGAATAATTATTATCATTGATGTACATAAAAGGAGAGGAGAATAGAAGGCAGAATTCTATACAGGTTTAGATGCTTAAAGTTTAACAACCATACCTTCCAATTGGATGAGTTGTTCCCTTTTCCATGGCAGCTGCAACAGCCAGAGCTTCTTTATCACAAGTGGGAATACAGCAAGCACCAGTTACAGATTTTTCCTTGCCAACATAATGTCCGTGAATTTGTTCAATTGCCTTACATTTGAGCTCCCCGGTGGTCAGCGTTCCAGTTTTATCGAATGCAATAGTGTGGCAAGAAGCTAGAGCATCCAACACATGGCCACCTTTCAGCAGTATACCCTGAAAACAGAAAGTTCCCAAAACAAAGGAGCTTGATGTATCGGTCATTTTAAGAGATTGATACTAGCATCATAGTTCAACTACAAGCTACATTAAAATAACCATACCCTCTTGAGAGTAATTATGTTATAAGTCATATTTTATGTTTAAAGAAGAGTAAGACAGAAGGAATTTTGGGAGGAAAGGATCCCAAACTACCATCTGTGTTGTACTATACAAGGAAAAGAAGCAAGTGAAACGCAACAGAGCATATTTACTAGTCTTGACTCCATATAATAACATGAAACTTGGATCATGATGGAAATTCTAAAGTTTTGCAGAAGATTCCTTTCTCACTCCCATGGGTATGATTTGGGAATCTTGTGGTCTTGTGGAGAGTTGGTTGACAACATATTCTGTAGGACTATGGGGAAGCATAAGAAAACAACAAGCTCAGTTGCCAGGGTTTTATGTGACAGAAGTTAAATGCTCATCTTTGAAGGAAGGCTAGAAGCCTAGAAGTGCGTGATCAAACACCTGAGGTTTCATTTCTTAGAAAGGAAAGGAGTAGTGATTCCATAACTAGAAGTACTGGTTTGGTTGGTAGGAATTGAAACGATTCTTTTGTATAATTGGCTAACTATTGAAGAATTGGAATTTCTTACTCTCTGAATTCCAATGATGAGGCAAAGAAAGGAAAGTAAGATTTTAATGTAACATCCTTTCTTTTCCTAGTATTTCCTATCAATTATTATAGCCAAACACAGGAAATTACGAGTATATGAGTGTTGGTGATAAGACTTCATATAACTACCTTCTATGACACTATTCTTTTAATCAATTACTTTTAAGCTAAGAAAATGACTTGATTTACCCTTAATTGATCACCATTAACAGTGAGGAATCTGAGGATAGTGACCATCTCACACTTTTGATAGACAAAAATGGTGATCAACGAAGAATTAAATTGAGCAATTTTTTTTAACTTAGATGCAATAATTTAACAGGAAAAAATTTGCCATATAGGGTAGTTACATATTAAAGAAAAATACTCTTCTGTCTCTAAAGTCCTTCACACCTACCATATTCCCCAAAATATTTTAACCATCATTGCTCCAAGTGGACTTGGAAAATTTGAAACCCCTAAAAGAGCAGCAACACCATTTATAGCCGTTTCTAAAGTTTTGGATATATAAATATCTATTATACACAGGTGCCTGCACCAAAGCATCATATATCGACTGCTCTACTACTCGTTCTCCTAAGCCCTCCTTACCTAAAGGATTACCTAGAAAAAAGAAAGAATTTATCCCATGTCACACTAAGTTTATTTTGGGATTATTCTGTTTACAGAAGTTCTATATGAATTACAGAGCCTCTATCTACAACAACACAACATCATACGAGATTCACATAATAAATCCCTAAGTTTTTGAGTTCTTGAGATAGAATATGAGAATGTACTCTATCAGTGCTCATTTATTTCCCTACTGCTCCAATATAAAAGATTAAGGCTTCTGCTCAACCTTTGTAACCTTCCTATAAAGAGCGGACAGTATTTCTCTGATCAAAATAAGAATTAAACCAACCCTATAAAGCTAAGGCTACTGAATGAAGGCCTGAGCAGGCGAGCAACAGTTTTTTCCTTAAACAAGAAACAATCACCAAAGCCAATCTTCTATCAACAACTACTTAGAGAAGGAGGCTTCTTTGTCCATTCATCTCTGTCCTAAGCGCTTTTAAACCTACAATTTGCCTCTCCATTGACTCCTTTTAGTCTCTCTTTATCAGATGTCACATGTCTGTCATTATATCAAGCAACTAAACCAAAATCCAAACACTAAATCAGCACCACTTGCAATTACACTCAAATATAATGATTCAGATGGGTCTTATCGTCTAGATGTGTTTGCCAATTATTGCCTTTCCAATTTATGTAATCCAAATTAGGCACCGTTAAGAAGCAATGAGCTTGAAAAAAGAATAAGCCTTTCCTTGTCATGATATATTAAAAAAAAAAAAAAAAAAAAAAAAAAAAGAGCAGCACTTTGTCACGAAGTAGTGTAATCTGTGATTCAATATAGAACTCCATTTACCTGAATTGACAGCAAAACACACTAACAGAGCAATACTGATTTTAGACGATGCAATAGCAAAAAGGTAGTTCAACCAAAAGTAAAAATTAAATACTACCTTCCTAGCACAAGCACTGATTGCAGTAGCATAAGCCAAAGAAGCCACAGCCAAGGCACATGGAGATGCTGCAACCATAAGTCCCAGAGCTCGGTAAATAGATCCCCTGCAACCTATAAAATGTAAACATCATCATTAGAAAATTTACTGAAAATCTTGGAAGAGATAAATTTTGATAGCTATCAAAAATGAAAAAGGCAGCATTCAAACATCATTCAGCCATAACAAGCATATATTTTACTTTACAGGTCAAATTGAAGCTATTGTATATCATCCCATTGCACTTCCATAACGTAGATTCACACATCATTCATTTATCATGTTCCGCATAGATGCGCACGCATGACATGGACAATTGGTGGATCAGTGCCGTTCCAGGTAACATAAGGTGTCAGATTAATGTCCATCTCTCATGAAAAATCCTATAGAAAAAGGCCGCCCAGACGTGCGGGCACACACATACACACACACACACACACATACAAAAAAAAAAAAGAAAAAAAGAAAAAAAAGGGAGATAAGAAACAAATCAAATTGTATACTACAATCATCAACACCATGATCAATACAAATTTAAATAAAAAAACCAAAATTAATCAATCTATGTGCACACTTTTCCTACATATTACCTGCTGTGCTGAAAAATGGCCATTTGAAAATAATAGGTCCCATAAGAGCAATGGCAACTGATAAAACCATAACCACTTTACTATATTGTTCACCAAACTCATCAAGCCATCGCTGAAGCTTTGGTTTATTCTGATGAGCTTCTTCAGTCAACTGCACTATCTTGCTTAACATAGATTCCTTCCATGTCTTTAATGCCTGATTCAAATCTTGATGTTAGGTGGACAACTGAACATATTGCAAATCAAACAAAGTCAACCAAGACTGACACAGACGGGAGGCAGAATGTTAGAATTGCACTTTCAGAGACTTCTAATTTCATGAAGAGGATGTTCCATCAGATACTTGGTTAAAAAAGCAGCTGAATTTTCTATGTCCGGCATATGTATGGAAAGGGAGGCAGAATGTTAGAATTGCGATATCAGAGACTCCTAATTTTGTGAAGAGGATGTCACATCAGATCCTTGGTTAAAAAAACAGCCAAGCGGTGTCAAAATTTGTTATAATTGGGGCTTTCTATGCCCCCCTCCCCCCCCCCCTCTCTCCCCCTACAAATCTCCAACACAGTAACTCTGTGGTTTTTAGATGTTTGGTTGGCCTAACTTTACATTATATATGGAATTTTCTTTCAATTATTAGTTATACTTTTTTCAGCACTGATCTCATTAAGGTTTAAACAGGATTTCATGCCCCCTCATTTTCTACAGTCAAAGTCACCATAAACCAACATAACAAACAGATGTAAATGCTGAGGAAAGAAAAGAAAGGGGAATATCACCAGCCTTTTAATCATTACTACTGACAGAAGTATATCTGCTGAGGACATCCCAGTGGTATCCTCATGACTAGTACTCCCACAGCTTCAATGTTAGAATCTTACTGGAGGGGTGAGTGACTTTTTCTCCTAGCCTCTACCCTACATTACAAATCTGGGCCTGCACCACCTTAGAGAAACTCCAGGTATTCCACGTATACAGTTATACCAACCCTTCTTCTCCCCGCCCCCCCCCCCCCCCCCCCTCCGCTGGCAGAAAATATTAATATGAAACATAGCAGAAGCAATACTAGGTTCAAGGTAGAACTTTAAGGTAATTGTATACAACATTTGATGTTGGAAAACTCCAATGAAAAACAGTACCCAGTAATAGTTGCACAGAGAGAATACATAATTTTCGAGAGAGGAATAAGGCAATGCAAAGGAAAGTTGAAGCGGTACCTTTACTACCAGCATGCCATCCAAGTTCCTAGCACCCCCAGGAATACGGTCTTCAACACCTCTTTCTATTGGTTTCACTTCCCCTGTCAAATGCTCAATGGTGATAGTTGACCTTCCTTGTGATACTACAGAGTCCACAGGTACAAACTAACCAAAAAGCAACATGCCTTGTCAGCGTTTCTTAAATTCATATCTTATTTAAGAAGGAATTCTAATTTTAGACATATAGGGAAAAAGGGTAGTCAGATCATTTAAACTATCAACAAAAGGTATTCCCATTGACACATAATGTATTCACACTATAAGCATACAACTTCCAAACAACAAACAAGATGATTTCTCTATATCTATGACCTAGTAGGCTGCTAATCTGTACCTAACATTTGAAGAGAGCCTCTATGGACATGTGTCCCCCTCTCTTTTTCATTTTTCAAAACAATCTCCACTTATTTTTTCGCTTCATTAAAAAAAAAAAAAAAAAATCTTTTACAATCTTTCAATTTCCCACATTACTACCAACAAGACGTAAAAGATATTCTTATAGTTGTCATTCCTATATACAGCTCGTGCATTGAATGGACCTAAAAATACTTTAATAAATTAATCTTTAGTATTTACTTTTATTATCTTATCCCATTCGCGTTGTATGAACTTTATTAATTTCCTTTGCTAAAGTTTTCTCATACCTTTATGTTTTTTTGATCCAACGTTTTAACCACTCCTTTAAAACTTACTTGAATTTTATTCTTGTCTCTCTTTAAAAACTCCCTTAAATTTTCTAGGATGCTCTTTCTTTTCTCACATTACTCACCTTTTTTCAAACCCTTTCAAGTGATTATCTTGTTATGTCCCTTTCTTTATATCGTACGGTTCCTTATGACGATTCATGTTAGCTGACCCCAAATCATTTTGGGACTAAGGCTTTGTTGTTGTTAACATCCATTGACAGAGCAAAGCTTTCATTACACGCAATTGCCAAAGCTGGGCATTGATGGCAGCAGTTTATCTAGAGTCCTAGATGCAGAAATCCAAGCAACCAGTTGAACACAAAGACAGGAAATCAAATGACAGAAGTCCATGCACAAATGCCATCACATGACACAACCATAACAGAACAACCCAATTTCATGAAGAACTTTGGGTTGGTGGAAATTGAGCATACATCATGGACATACCTCACCAGCTTGAACCAATACAAAAGAGCCAACAGCTATTTCAGTCACAGGAACCTTCTTGTAGGATAAAGAAGAGAGATTAGGTGTCTTATTCTTGTCCACATCCAGAACAAGTGCAGAATCTGGATAAGTCTCCTTCAGCTCTTTGACATCAACCATTGAGCGACTCGTAAAATATTCTTCAGCTGCATTTATAATAAACATATGAAAAGTCACCAAAAATGATATCATATAGGGGTGAGCACAAACTATATCCCCAGAGTCCACTACCAGGAAACTGAATATAGGCACATGGAATGTATAATCTACATTAACAACCATACTACCTATATGAGCCAAATTAAACATAGCAATGAGCAGACCGCCTTCCAAGGAGTTTCCCATAAATACCGATGTAAAGGCAGCAAGAGCCATGAGGACATGAATGTTAACTTTTCCACCAGAGATATCAATAACAGCATCTAGTGACGCTGAAACCTGACATACAAAGCCCAAGCAATAATCAAATTCAACGAGGCAAGAAGAGAGGAAAAAAAAAAAAAAAAACACCAGGACCAACTTTCCCTTTAAACAAAAGAACTACAAAGCAGAAGATTAGAAAACAGCAAATTTGACACTCAAAAAGGTAAAAGGTTCCTGTATTTGTATCTTTTCTAAAAACTTCTATGAAAAGAGTTAGCTGCAGAATCTAATTACTTCACTTTTGAGAAGGAGTACTCACATTGCTCAAATGCATTAGCATCACTGACATACTCAATTTACACTAAAGCTCAAATATAAGGATTCCTTTGATCAATGACAGAACGAATATCACAGCTAAGACATTGAAACAAGGCAAGCATACTCCAGCATTAGCAACACCGATCAACGCATAATTTTATCATGCATTCCTAAATTAATACGAAGAAATATTTTAAAAAGCGTAATCAGATAGATATCAATGAAAATGAAGAAGAAGAAATGATTACCCCAACAAGAGGAAAACCGAGGAAAATGAAGGCATTTTGCAAGGGTTTAACAACAGGTTTCGGAACCAAGTATGGAGAAACAGCAGCAGCAAGAAACAGCCCCATTGCACAGCAACACAATTGCATGTTCTCCCTCAAGAAATTGGCTAAGTCCACCCACCCTATCGCCTTCGCAAATCGTAAGACCCTTTCCTGAGACTTGCTCAACTTCACTTCACCACCTCCGTGATGATGATGGTGATGATGATGATGATGGTGGTGGTTATGGTGATTATGATCATCATGGTGATGATGATGATGATGATGAGTTGCGCTGGATTTGACTGTACATTTGCGGAAATTGGAGGTAAATGAGGGGGAATTAAGGGGAGAAAAGTAGGGTTTGTGACGAATATTTGGGGAGATGAAGAAATGGTGGGAATTATTGCGGAAAATTGCGAAATTAGGGTTGTAATTTAAGGATTGGAGGCCATTAAAGAGGGGAAGAGTTAGAGCTTCCATTGTTTTGATGATTGAGAAGGTTTCAGAAAAATCGAAGAAGAAGCATTGTTTGCAGTTGTGAAATATTCTCTCTCCTACTTTCTCTCCTCTGTTCAAGTTGAGGAAGAATTGCTGAAAGGTGAGAAGAAAGTCAGTGAAGAAGAAGATGTTGCAATGGAGACCACACTATGTGCTGCTGATGTGCACATCTATTTACTTGCTAACTTGCGCAGATTTGTTTCCAAGTATTGATCAATGATTTGTTTGGGTTAAAACCAAAAAAGTTTTGTTTTTGGACACGCAACTTTTACGGTGTATCATTGTCTAATTACCGACTACTTTAATAGTCATGTATGTAATTAGGAACTATAAACACCAGACGATCCTTGCGTCCTTTAAAGGAATTTAAAAGTGATCTTTAATAAAGTAGCGTAAGGTAAATTGGTTTCTATGTTATAGTAGCAGTTTCGTGCTGTTGTGCTAGGAAAAAGGTGACATTTTAAGAGTTCTTTAGAGCGGATTTTGTTTAGTCCTCAACTTCTCACAAAGTATAAACTATGCCATTACTTAAAGAGCATGCTAGTTATAAATCACACAAAGCATGCAAATTATTTACGGAGTACTTGTTGCTAACTTGCTATATCCCATTTGTACAAGTGGTGTACAAGACTTACTCAATACTCCATCCCTTTCTAAATACTCGAAACAATATAACATAAACTCTACTCATATGCGAAGTATTAACAATTTCATTTTTTTTTTTAAGATACAAAGTATATAGTTATCTAATGCTACTGTGTAACATGTTAATTCAGAAATATAGGGCGTATAAATTTCAGATTTTCAGATTAGTACAAAACAATACTCGTACATATTACATCACAATTAATGTTTGTTATCCTGATTTGACTGCGCAAAGGAGCTATTTATAATTACAGGTCATGAGCTCCCTTCGATTCTACAAAGTACATTCATCAACAAAAATGCCAGGACAGGCAAAAACTAGCTGAGAAATTGATAAGTGAAAAACTTACTATTACATGTATACAAGAGAGTTTGTGGAATTGGTACAATGAGGCGGTGATATGCCTAATTAGCAAAATAGAAGAATTTGTTTGTGCTTTCTGATCTACCACACTCAGGGCACTCAAAAATTAAGAGCGCCAAACCATATGAATACAGGGCAGCCTCAATTTTCTTTTCCCTTCGTCGTTCCTTCTGCAACTCTAGAGCCATCGTAAACAGAGAGAAAGAAGGTGCTTTGATTCTTCTGCAAAAATCTGAACACAAAACCTAGTGAATATAGAGCATGGTATGACAAGGTTGTGACTTTAGCCACAAGGACACCATACATACCTGAGAAAATCAACTAATTTTTGCTGCAAACGAGTCATTGTCTCCTCTTCCATGTTTACATAGGCTAACAACTCCGGCAATTTGACTGCAATCATACAACATTGATTAGAAGTTAGAAGTACGTAAGATTTAACAAACCAACATTGCATTAACCTGATTCAAAATTTAGATGTGGAAGGAAAACAGCATGAAGGCTCTCGTACTTTCAGGAGTTGCACAATCCATAAGAGTATACGAAGGGCATCAAATGTCACCAGATTCACAATTCTAGCAATTATTACTATATCCATCAAAATTCACAAGCATTAAAGGGGAGAGAAGAGAAGGTGTGGGCCAAGGAGACGAGGAGCCTATAAAACCAATTCATAGCCAATATAGTTTCTCATCAGCAAATGCCTATAGGCAGTTGCCCTATCAACAGAATTCACTGAAATTAAGGAAACAATATCTCATACTTCGATCTTATTTCCTCAATTTCCTAGTTCATAACACAACAACCTGCAAGCCAAATCCTATTACAAGTTAATTCTGCAATGGATACTTACACAATACAGTAAAACAGATTCTCTCATATCCTAAGATAAATTCATAGCAAGCCAGTCCAACAGTGACTTCATTTATGTAATAAATATATAAAAATTAAGAAAAAAAAAATCCCAACAAAATATTAACTCCTGGTTTCTAACACCACCAACAATTCTATATTTGAAGACTAATTTTGGACAACTTAGCGCAAATGAAATGGATTAAGGAATTAAGGCAGTGCTTAATGCCAGATTATTGCATGTCTGAGACTGGTAAGAGATTAAATTGAAAAAGGAATGATTTAAGGACTTGAAACTAAGCTATACAAGCAGAGTAAACTTACTAGGCAACAATTAAAGAAAATGGTGAAAATAACACAAATGAAACGAGGAAAAAGCATTCAAAAGTGTGCATACCAAATAGGCGCAGTAGGTGATCTGCACCATATACAGTCGATGGGGAAGCATTATTAGTTACAGCCTCATGATACTGCTGCCTTTCTTTTTTGTACAAAAGCATCAACGGCAATGCTTTGTCAAAATAACAGCGTAATCCATTCAAAATTTCTGCAATTGAATCAGTAATCCTACAAAAGAAAGAAAATTAAAATTAAAATAAAAACTCAGGGCAACTTCACTGATGAAGCATAATTGATATAGCTAGGCAATTTGTACGGGATCAAAAGACGCAGCAACCAGCATTATGCAACAACAATCTAAGTCTCTGATCCCTATAGGATAGACTATACTGTGTCAAGAACACCTTGGTATTGTCATTCAATCCTACGCTACACTGTCGTAGGAACTAAAAACTGTTAGTCCAAGGGTGCTTTGAAAAGTCAGTAGTGAATACTCTCATAATCTTATTCATAATCAAGATAGTGTCATTGGAGAATGTAGTTTGCATTGCATGGGGAGTCTTGGGTTCACCTCTTGCAGTATTAGAGTTGATCAACTTCATCTATGTCAAGTTAAAAGGGGCTACAAATATGTTTAGCTGTTGCAGACGAGCAGTCGAGCATAGCTTCTCAAGGGCCACTTTATCATTGTGGACATGGGCATCTCGGGCTTTCAAGAGTTGGGGCAATTCCAGAAACAGAATATACTAAATTTATATATACATAGCACATAAAATAAAAACTGAATGCAAGGAGTAGGGGTTGCATCCAACAACAGTGACATTGTACAAGAAAAGTAAAAAAAATGACACAGAAGGTTAAGACACCTGTAACAACTTACGTGCCATCCTTTCTTGTTCTGTATTCAAGATACTTCTTTAATACATCATCCACAGTTGGAGAGCGAGGCAATTTAACTAGCTGCAAGGAAGGATTTTGAGAAAAATCAATTAATTAATAATTAATTAAGGAAAACATCAGCCAAAGGTTGGGAGGAAATAATTTAGTAACAGAGCAAGATAACTGATTCAAAAAATGAAATTACAACAGATAATATAAATCATATAGCATACCCAAAACAAACACAGAGAGAAAACACGACAAAAAAGAGAGATGAAAGGACAGATGAAGAGGATTATCCTAAGCTTCTGAACAGATTTGAGACTTTGAGGTGAAAACAAACTACGTATATAATTCCCTGCATCTTAACCTAATCCAGGCATACAGCCAAGATATATAAGAGCCCTTGCACTAAAAACATAAAGGAAGACAACTCATTGACACATTCTGACACTACCCATTTGTCAACATGTAATATTTTGGACAGGGATTGTTCAAAGAACAGATGTAATTAATTCATATAGAAAACAATTTCAGCTATCTGCAAATCAAAGGACAGCAGAACCACTTGAGAGACAAATTAAATTAAATTGGGCCAACGATAAAACACTATGCGTTAAAGAAAAGGCCACACCATAAGAATTGGCCTTTACCTAGCAGAATTTCACAGGCAAAGCAAGGAAAATTCAATTATGATAGGGCCAAAACTCTAAACTTGAGATCAGACTTAACAAACATCTACAAGGCCGAGCCATTGAGCCTTTGGTACTCAATTCTATGTTCCTCAACTTGGCTTAAATGTTCCTAAACTTGCCTTCCTAAAAAAAAAAGGCAAAGAAAATGGAAAATTGCACCACTAGAAAATGAAGTGTTCATCAAAACCCTTCACCCCACCAAAAAAATGCGCCTAATAATTATGTTGTTCCTGAGGCAATGACTGTTGATAGGAAGTCAAAAAATTGAATTTTGCCTGTTCTCTTCATGGCTCATAACCTAATACTCAGATAAGTAGTTTTTATTTACACTATGCCCCTTCTCATCATGGGTCAAGTAGAGAGAATTTAGAAACAAATTGTACAAATCATATCCTAATATCATTTCAGGAAACATAACTATTTTTCAGGCTTCTTAAAATTGTACGAGTGACTATTACATCAGGGTGTAGGTTATTACTTTATGTCCTCATACCTTGTCCTTTTGTGTAACGAATTCCCAATCATCAACCAATTGCTTCTTCAATGGTGATGGAATCTGGATCTTTACAAGTTTCTCTGCAGAGGCACTATCCTTCTAGAAATATGAAACAGTATACATCAGCTTCAAAAAAATCAGAGGCAATTTTCTGTAACATTTGAAAGAACACTGAGACAACATCTTCCATTTAAAACAGATAAATCCCACTTATATATCCTACTTATATACAAAAAGAGATACATGGGTGAAGAAAAATCAACCCACTATTTAGAATTGACTTATAATTATAAGAACAATTGTAAACAGGGCAACAAAAATCATAGTACCATCATCTACTATAAAAGACATCATCTACTATAAAGAAAGAAATTCTAGTGATGAGGTTTGATGTCAGGCTGGCAAGAAGGTGAATTCAAGAGCAAGAGAGATATATATGCCATAGGCATTTCACTTTCACCAGAAGTAAGCCAAAAGTGTGATATTGGAAACACAAGAAAGTAATCAGTCTAGCTACAGCTATGCAAATCTTGAAAACTAGGTGGATTTGAGCTACAAACAACCAAAAAATACAGCTTGAATGGTCAAAATACATTTTTGCCAAAGAATCCATCTTATAAAGGGAAATTCAAGCAACAAGTATTGCAGCAGCAAACAGTGCAGTCCCGTCAAAATTCACACACAAGAGCTTAAAGGAAGAATCTAAGGGCAAGAGGATAGTGCAAATGTTGCAATACTGTACACAGTGTACAGGGTGGATGTCATTTTCACACAGTTAGGCTTATGCTGGGATTTGTCATGACATCACAACTCTTTTTGACAAGTTCACTATCACTCCCCTTTGTTAAAAACTTAAGAGATGCTATGTCAGGAAACAAAAACCTTAAATTGAAATTTGAATTGTAATAAGAGATTTAAGGGCAAAAGTACTGCTAATCACAAAAAGGGGAGAGGGGAATTCAAACTTGAAGTACACCCCTAGGAAAGGAGACAGCACCACGGTACAACTCACTCAAAAGTGGAGAAAGTATTAAGGAAAATGCTGCATATAATTTGAACAATTGGAACAGCGTAAATAGGTGTTGATATCATTCTTAATAATTGAAGTAGGCTAGTTTTGATGGAAGCAGACCTCATCACCCTTCCGCTTTTTCCCTTTTGCCACTGCAGAAAATTGCAAATACAAAAACACTATTATGATCGAGAAAACCCTAATTCTTAAGAGGTGTGAAAAAGTGCCTCTTACAAAATAAAATTATAGTAATCATACTGCAAAACCAACAACTTACAAATATTAGAAAGGAAGCATCAATAGACAATTAAGAGTTGGATAAACAAAAATTCAATAGCACAATGAAAATAAATGAAATATTTTCCATAATACTTCCAAAGATTTTTTTGATTTCTTGCGATTTCTCACTGTGACATCTAAATTTCCAGCCAATTGCATTGACTTTTAATGAATGGCACTTTTATAACTTAGTGGAGGCTAGTCTAATTAACAAGTATATTGATGATAGAATAATACATTGTGACTATAATGCCCTTGCTAAAGCAGTCAAGGTCATATGATTACTTACTGTAAAACTTGGTAATTCTTTCTCTTCATAATTCTCAACACCATTTAGAGCATCCCCCCCCCCCCCAACCCCATTTATTCATTGATATTTAAAGGCATTGCACCCCAGTTCATTAAACTCTCCACCTGTATACCTCTGCAGTAAAAGGAAGATTTGTAACATTTGTTTGAAACTTTATGTACTTTAATGGAGACTATAGTGAAGAAGAGAGACATACATGTATCTATAAATGAACGGGGAAAGGAGAGGACAGATTTTCAATAATTATGAAAATTGAAACAGGCAGAAGAGGTAATTTGTCACCAGATCACATAACAAGAACTACTTAACGAAAACTGAAAAGCCATAATATGTAGACAGAAACAGCTTAAGTACAACACTAATTAAGAACAGAAAATTCTCTCAAAGTCAAGGCAAAGTTTTTCTTCTCCCATTTTAGCAGAAGTTTGTAATCCATCATTTTTGACTAATTGTTTTCCATTCCAAACTCACAAGAAACCTTTCGATGACATTATTATAAGTCAAAATACCAAATGCCTGCGACTCACTAATTATAAGAGAAGCCTTGCCCCAGATTTTAATAATTTTATTGCGACAATATCACCAACCCTTCCACAGAGAGGTAGGCTACAAAAGTTTCTGTTACACTGGTTCTGGCAAAGTCAATGTTCACAGAGATGTAGAGGATCAGTTAAGAGCAAAGAGGGCAGTGGTGTGGTAATAAATATTGTCCCCGGACCAGGGTTATATTAGTACACATTAAAGCCAAATACATTAGACTACTAAGAAGCAAAGGTCTTCTCTACTCAATATCAATGTTCCCAGAAAGTGAAAGAGTTAGTTAAACAAAGTGGGCAGAGGGACTGTAGTAAATATTGTACCCAAGCCAGGGCAATATTAATGCTCATTACAGATAAATGCCTTAGACTACTAAGAAGCAAAGATCTTCTGTACTCCATAAATTTTTTTAAGCAGGTACTAGGTAAACAATAGCAGAAACTGCTCATAATAGAAACATGCCCTTCAAATGTTGACAACAAGAATTTGTTTGTGGGGGAAGGGGTATTAATCATAATTTACCCCACTCTCCCTTCCCCTCCCAAAAAAAACCACCATCACCAAAATAGGAAGCAAAAAGTAAATAACTAAAAAAAATAAAAAAAATATACTGTAAATTCTATAGCCATTTTGGATGGACAAAATAATAACCTTTTAGTATATATAAACAAACTTGAGTATTAAAAATATAATTTAAAGCAAGCTACCAACATTACCATTGCTCTTGACGTCTTCTTTATCTACTTTTGCATCTACACCAAGAAACCAAGGAAATTAGTAAGAATATAAGCTTTTTCAGATTGAGAACACAAAATTGCATGTGTCAAGCACAATACTATACAAATTATACCATGTAGGTCCCCAAAATTGCCCTTAACGGCTTACAAGAAATTAATCAACAGTAAGAATACTAGCAAGCAGTCAATAGATCCAATTGTACAAAAAAAATTCAACCCTTTGCAGAAAATCATTATGCACAAACCTTCCGGTTGGTCCTAATCAAAATACTTTGTGTTGTTATCACTAATCAGCACCACAAAGTACACCATCCTGTGCACTACAGTGGCAAGATTCAACAACAGATATCCTAAGCCTCATAGAAACAACAGGAGTTGCCAGTAAAATACTAGAATCACGAATTTTCGATAATCTCAAAACTTGTAAGTTATTGCGGATAAATAACAATAGCAGATAAGTGAATTGCAAAGCATTAGTTGATACACTTAACCAACAAAACTGCATGGGTAATCTAGAACAATCTGTTCCTTGTCATAACAAATTCTTGGATGTGACTGATTTCACGAAATTCTTACTAAAATATATCAACAAAGATCAACTTCAAAAGGAAAATTCAACAAATTACAAAGGTATGTAAAAAAAGATATGGTCATTTTGCACAAGAAAAAACAATATTTACTTCTAGGAAGTGGCTAACCAGTAGAACCTTTTGGCTTTGTCTGTGCAGAACGTCCAGATCTATGATGCTTGTCAGCACCTTGCTTCTTCTCCAAAGCCTGCTGCTTTTGGATATTTTCTTCCGTAATTTTCATCAGGCGATCCATGCCAACCCATTCATCCCAACTGTTTGGAAATAAGTGTGGTATTCAACAAATCATTATCTAACTCTCTCGTATGAACCAGAGTTACAAGACAAGTATCAGATCAGAACAATACATGCAGTTCAACAATCATGACCACTGTTCAATTTTCAAGGGATCAGACTTGGATCAGAGACAAAGTCTATAAATTGATATTACATCACAGAGTTACGGTAACTAATTGCCTCCACTGTAAAGCAGAAAATATTGACAGATACAGAACTAGAACCACTTAAGAGTCTCATTAAGTATGTTAGAAATTATCATCTTTGTGAGTCAAGCACAGCAGGAAGTCATTTATATTGACTCCAAAACGCAATGTCATGCAGAGACGAGGGGAAAATAGGCTTAAAAACAGCATAACCTTAAGATCAATAGGCTTCAAAGAGAGTTACTTACTTTTTGTTCCAACCCTGCAAATGAGAAAAGATACTAGTATCATTCAGTAATTCCATCATATCTGAATATTCAGAATACACCAAAATTAACAGCTTGGAAAAAAAGATCAATCAGCAAAAATATCAAGGCAATGCCAGGTCCAAAAATGCTGAAGTAAAAAGGTGTTTCTACTAACACAAGACCGCATAATTGATAAAGAAAAAGTAAAAAAAATGAGAACTTACAAGGTAATGAACAAAATAACGCCATTCTTTTTTACGGATCTCGGCTTTTTGAATCTGAAAACATCACATAGTGGTAAAGATTAGCGCAAGCATGTCAAAGATATATAATACAAATCTTGAGCCATATGCCATACAGCTGAGCTACAAGTGTAAAATTGCTAAACAGATAACACTATGGAATTTCTAAATACAAAATATTGAAGCAATGATAGCATTCAACTTCTAAGATTAACTTTCAATCAACCTTGGGGAACCTCTTGCCTTTTTAGAACATCTTCAATAGTTCATTCAAATATCCAACAGGAAACAAACCATTAGCTTTAGCACTTTGCTCATAAACTTTGGGTCAAAATTATACAAACCACGAGACCTAAGACAAAGGCCCTACATTGAATAAAACTTAATTTATACAAGTTTTTATTGGTTATAGATAATTTATACAAATTATATTGATTTTTACTGGTAAAAACGATTTTAATGATTAAAACTTATATTTTACTGATTTTAATTGAATATGGAATACTATATTTTACAGTTTACAAGAGCAAGCCAGAGTGTAAATGCCACCATCGCACAAACCTTTGCAAATTTTTATTAAGTTTCAAAACTTATACTTCCTCCATTTCTTAAATTGCAACATTTGCTCTTTTGACAATTTTTACACACTCATCTTTATCCACATATTGATTTATACATATGGAAAAATATAATCATGTAGAGTTTTGTTAGATTCGTCTCAACATATACTTTTACAATATTAACATTTTATAGTTTTCACCATTATATTATCAAGATATTTAAGGACTAAATTGTGTTTTTGGAAGCATGATCCCCCTTGTTTTAAAATTAAAGGAACCGAGAAAGTAGCATTCCAACCACGTATTATTGCAAGCTCTGCCAAACAGAGCTTTAATTTGAGTACAAGACCAAATACTGACCATACTTCCTTACAACAGCAGCCGATCGCTTCAAACTTCCACTCTTCAGCCAAAATGGCCTAATTCATACTTACACTTGGATCACACAAAAAAGTACAAGCTTTGGGTCCAGCCATTTGACATAATACTATCCATTACATGGGCTACAAATATAAATTATGTGAACATCTTTTCGATGATTCACATTTCCATTGACATCAGCGTGATGGTGTTTACAATAACAATTGTCCTCAATTATCTCAATTGTAAGAATCCGATAAACTCCGTATTCTAATTCGAATTGAAAATTTCCTAAATCCTAAAGTTAAACAAACTCAAAGTCAATTTCGAAATTTCTCCTAAATTTCCATAACCTCTTAAAACCTAAAATGCTCATCATCAAACCTAAATCGTAATAGTAATACATTCAAATAAATCCAAACTTCTCTATCTCCTAAATCAAACACATCAGAGACTTCAATTTAGCATACATACAAACTAATTTTAAACAATTACACTAAATTCAATAACTAATAAAAACATAATTTCAGAAGAAAATAGGCGTAGATTGTAAGAGGAGAGAGAGAAAACCTTGGCTTCGTAGATGCGAGGACCGTGATAAGCGAGGACCTTCTCGCCTTCGGCGTAAAGGCTAGGCTTAGGATCCGCAAGACCGCCGTTAGAGGTGTCACTTGCGGCGGCGTTGACGCCGGGATCGTCCTTGCCGCCGGTGTTGGAACTTCCCATCTTACTCCTCCCTCGCTTTCCCCGCTCTCCAACACTCGCCTTTTAAGTTTTAACTGCTGTTGTTTCGCTTAGTGTTACTCGTACTACGCAGTCAAAATATGGATTATACTGTGGACCACCTCCGCGCTCATATTCTAATTTTTCATTTTTGTTGCTAACTCGCGGCCCAAATCCGCCTTTGAAATTTTCGACCACTAGGGCAGGTAGTGAAAATCAATTCTCTTGAAATCGGAAGAAAAGGTCTATCCTATACCCCGCTCTCTATTTATTAATGATATAAATTTTAAATAGACCCTTCACATTAATTTATTGTGGACCACTAATATTAGAGACAGTATGTGGTCGTTTTATTAATAATAAAAAAAAAAGGTCATTATGTTAAAATAAAGGTTATTATGTTAAAATAGAAGTCATTGTGTTATCATAAAGGTCATAAGAGGTTAATTTTTTTTTATGAAAATTTTAATAAACTAAATAATAAAGGTCACTATATTATGTTCAACATAACGTCGTACTTTTGATTCGCAATAATATTAAAAATCACACGAGTTTTAATAAAAGTTACTGTGTTAAAATTAAGGTTATGATGTTAAAATTAAGGGTCATTGTGTTTAAAATGCAGTTAGTTGCGAAGCACCTAGGGATCTCAGGTCCACAACAATATATTATTGTGAACCAGGTCCACACAAAATTTTTCATATTAATGATTATGAAAATGTATCTTTTTGATTTCCAAGTATATTAGAGGATAATTTCTGAAATTGATTCAATTTGTTTCCTTTAATTCAATGATCATGTTAGCACTATCCACATCTGTATAGACTATGGTGAGGCAAAATTATCTAACTTAACAACTTATAACAAAGTCATGAATTTTTTTCAAAGCAAATGAAATAAATTATGCATATATTATGGTATATTTTTTGTGATTAAAGAGAGCTACAATGATCTAGGTGGCTAGATAGAATTTGATCCAGTCTTAAATAACTTGAAAGTTTACATCCATACTATGGCATATATGACATATGTTGCTCTAAGGTTTAGATATAAATGGCAAATTAAGTACAAATTTTTTTCCCTGCATAAAATCCTATCAAAATTTATTACTCCGTAGTTGATACCTTAATAGTCTTGATACATGATATTTTGATTTCATAGTTTGAATACGTAATTTATTTCGTCCAATTATTGCATACATAATTTTGGTATAATTCTTTAACACCAAATCTCTTAGAATTAAATGTGATATGTTACCCTTGTTATTCATTTATATATAAGGTAACATATCCCCTAATTAAATGAAATTATATGAATTATTACCTCAGTTCACATGCAAAGCAAGGTGTATTTTCCCTAACACGTTTTCTTAAGCAAAGGATCACTAATTTCATTATATAATTTCAAGTAGTCCTCAACTTGCTTCTATACTAAACCTCCTTGCTTTAATCCTCTCATTGTAGTTTCATGTTGTTATTTGAGAAAAAATGGTTCATATCAATGATACTCATGTTTTAATGGTTTCCTTGTTCTACCATGGTCACATAAACCCCATGGTTCGCTTTGCCAAACTCCTCACATCAAGAGGTATCCATGTAACCATAGCCACAACTAACCATGCTCGAGACCAACTTTTAATTGGACTAGCCAAACAAAACAATTTCATCGACTTTGAGTTCTTTGATGATGGCCTTGATGCTGAACTTGACCGTGACAAGAATTTGGGTATCCTCCTAGAAGAGTACCTTCCAAGGGACGGGGTAAAAAATCTTTCAAATCTAGTTTATGCTCTTGAAGGCAAAGGTAAAAAATTTGAGTACATCATCGTCAATTGTTTCATGCCATGGGTTACAAATGTTGCAATCATGCACAACATTCCTTGTGCCATGTTATGGGTTCAATCTTGTGCAACATATGGCATATACTATCATTATTTTCACCTAAAATTATCTCAAGTATCTGCATTAAATGATCCAAATCATGTTTTGATAATACCTGGATTACCATTACTTAAGGCAGAGGACCTTCCAACCTTTGTCCTTCCCTCGAGCCCTCCCCATTTCCTAAACGTTGTCATGACAACCATAAGTATCCTTAATCGATTTCAATGGATATTTGGAAGTTCTTTTTGTGATATAGAAGAAACTTTGGTGAATTCCATGATGCAATTTAAACCCATTCTGCCCATTGGTCCTTTGGTCTCACCGTACATGCTAAATGTTGGAGAAGTGCTAAAGGATGAGGAAGAAAACGACTTGTGCCTAGATTGGCTGGATAAGCAAGGTATTGATAGCTAGTGTTTTTCAATTATGCAGGTTATTTATTATTACCCCGTGTTTTTTTTTTTTTTTTTTTTTTTTTTTTTTTTTTTTTTTTTTTTTACTCTTTTAGTCCTAATTTATTTGTTGATACTTATTTTTGTTTTATGAGATGACCTCATTGCCCAATTTAGTTGCAACAAACCTCATTATTAATAAGAGTTTTTTTTTTTCCCATGTATTCACCCCAAAAATTTTCTCTACCTTTTTACCTTTATCAAACCTATGTGTCAAAAAGTATTTGTAACAAGTACATACATTGAAACAAAACCAAGCAAGCTTGGTGGAATTGTCAAGGAACTCACCTTGCAACTTTTAGGTCATAAGTTTGAGTCCTACCAACCACATTTTTGTTTGGGAGTAGTGAGATTCCTTTACCTCCTACTCTCAAACGTTGACCTGTGGAGCAGGGCTACTTAATATGTGAGATTGAGGTGCCGGTTCAATAAGGTCTATCATATTACCCTTAAAAAAATTACATTGGGACAAAAGCATCGGTCAAGTAACATGCTTGATCACAGCAATTTCATATAGTAACATGCTTGATCACACCAATTTCATATGGTCACCCCAAATCCAGATACTATGCTTAATCACACCAATTTCATATGGTCACCCCAAATATTTTGATTTTATAAGATTAGGGCCATGATATGTACAAAATTTGATGTGACTAACCACGTTATGTTATTTTATGTTACCGGCCCTTATTTACGTTGGGGATATGCTTTATATAACTTTGGAATTTTATTAGGTGCATCATCGGTGATATACATTGCTTTGGGGAGTATATCCGTCATGTCACAAAGCGAGACAGAAGCACTAGCAATGGCCTTGGAGAGTGATAGCAATAGGCGATTTTTATGGGTGAGGAAGGAAGGCGAAAATGGTTGGGGAGGAAAAACGGGAGAGCTTCCAAAAGGATTTCTAGAGAATACAAAAGATAGAGGACTAATAGTTCCGTGGTGTCGTCAAGACAAAGTGTTAATGCACCCAGCTATTAAGTGTTTTCTGACTCATTGTGGATGGAACTCGACATTAGAAACTATATCAGCAGGTGTTCCGGTTATAGCTTACCCCGATTGGACTGACCAACCAACAAATGCTAAACTTCTTGTAGATGTGTTTAAGGTGGGCGTAAGGATGAAGAAGACAAAGGACGGCGAGCTTAGGAAAGACGAGATTGAAAGGTGTATTGTGGAGGTGACCACAGGACCAAGGAGGTTAGATATGAAGGAACAAGCCAATAAGTGGAAGGTGGTGGCTAAGAAAGCAACATCAAGTGGTGGTTCCTCCAACATGAATATTCAGAATTTCGTCAATGCAATTAGAGGCAAATTTGTCTAGTATAAGTATAGGATCGATCGATTATTGTGCTAGTTTATATCTTTTGCAATTTCCTTTTCAAATTTTATGTTCAATAATAAGTACTATAGAATGCATGTAGCACATAAAAATGTAAGATATTAGACTTTATCTAAAAATGTAAGAAATTGGACTTTATCTATATTACTATGTTATATATGTCGTATGTTATTTTAATTTTCATGTGTATAGACATTAATAATTTTGATATAAGTTCTGTATATTGCATTAGTTTATAAACATAGATAGATTATAAATACAAATAAACTACTACTATATGATTCAATTCTCATAATCATAAACCATGCTAGAATAAATTAAATCTTTAAAGGTACAACAATCTTCAAGGTTCACAATTTCAATTAAAAAAATAAAAAATAAAAAAAAAAAATTGGATGAGGAAAAATTTAATGAAGCTCACTTACATTAAAAAGAAAGCTGAGAAAAAATTTGGATGAACGTTTTATGTGACACTATTCTACCTTCCACGCTCAGATCATTTAATTTGTTATTATTTATGAGACATTAAAGGTTATTCTAAATAAATCTAAAGATTACTTCTCAATAAAGTAAAGTTAGTATGCTCTCACAAAAAATATTGCACGATAATTGTATATGAGCTTGCCTCGTACAAATTACAAAACGAGACATTATTGTCAAAAATCGGAGAGAAAACTAGCACTAGGTGTCGCAATTAGTGTGGTAGTCTTAGCAGCAAAGATTAAAATGGGAGACAAATCATTGTGCAACATCAGACCTATGTCCAGCCATTTCAGCAAGGTGCAAAAGCATGAAATTACATAAAGAATACCGTTGTTCCAATCCAGGAAACAGTGGATATCCATGTGTAAAAAATAAAGTATACTGATTGGTAAAAAAAAGCCAAAAAACCACATTCAAAAACCCTTATATAAACCTCTTTAAGATTAATTCTTATAATATGTCATAAACCTCGTTTCTAGCTTGTTTAACAAGAAGAAAGTCAGCTAATAAGCTAGGGAGATGAATTATAACTTCAAGAGTAACAATATTTCTTCTGCCTATGTTATAGCAATGTTGTTGTTATTTGCAAGCTCAATCGACGTGGTTGTAGCATACGAGGAAACTGGGAATCGGAGCAATGTCGTCGAATTATCTAAACCTATGGTTAAGGTTGTGGTGGTTAATCCTTCAACCTCGGCTCAATTGAAGGCTCGATCATGGTCTACTTCGAGAGGCCGAATGTTTACATTTTCTTCTGGACCTAGTAGAGAAGGTTCAGGTCACTAGTAACTAACTAGCTTTCATGTTATATCTTCTCTATTTTTTCAATCTTATTATTATCTGAATAACTAAATGTAAAATAATCTATTTTGCTATAAATGTAATTCCACTAAAACTTCCTCGTACTAATTATCATGCATTTTGCTAATTACATACTGTTTGATATTCATGGTTG